AGAGTAGATCCGCACATCACTATGGCTTATTGATCAACTCAGTCAATAAAAACAACCCATCCTGTGTTAGGAGTGTATGTCACTGACAGAAAGAAAGAAAGAAAGAAAAGGAGAAAAAAAGATAGAAAAGCAGCATACACCTCACATATTTATTTCTCACAGTTGCGCACATGTTTGGCTGGCATGCAGAAGCACCGTCTGTGTGTCTGTATGTCGAGGGTGCGAGCCGCAGCTTCAGCTGCTCAGGTAGACAGGCTGTGTCGCTGATTCGGTTCTGCAGGTTCTCTGCTGGTACACTGGAGACGGGGATCAAGCAGTTTGTCTCACTCAGGATAGATTGTGCTTTTCTGGTACATCGTTTCTGATTGACGTGCGATTTATTCGCGTTTAGAGGGAATTATTTTTACCGGATAACGGAAATATGGGCACAGTTATCTATATAAAATACACAGACTAACTAACTAACTAACAGATTGACTAACATAAACAATTGAAAATTGAAAAAAATTAGCTTTCACCGTTAACTCCTGTAAGGGAAAGCAGCTGACTGGAAGTCACACACAAAAACACGGAAGTTGATCACTATTTACTTCCGTGTTTGAACATAAGGTGGATAAGATGCCCAGCCTTTGCAAAATCTTATTTAGTGACTAAAAACTCTCTGACTCATGACACATTGTCTTAAGATGTGAGAGGGTGTCAGACTTAAGTCTTTTCAAAGTATTTTCAAAGTATTCAAGTGTACGATAGACATTAATCACTTAAGAAACAGGATACATGAAAATTCAACACACTTTAGTCAGCACCAACAATGAAACATTATGATGAAGCATAATGTACTGTACGTCACTTAACACATACAATGATACTTTTATGATACTGCATGGACTACTCTATGAGTCCTTACTACTGTACAGTTGATTGTTTAAGTATGTATGGGTGAGTACAGGTAGTACAGTTTATGACTAGTCAAGAACATCCATAAGACACTTATAAAAAAAGTCACATCTATAATGTTTTATGACTGTTGATATAGTGCATCAGGAAGCATTATGTGTGTTTATGAGTGCGGTCATACAGCATTATAAATTCATTATAATTAACTATAAATGCCCTCATAACGCTTTATAGATGTGGGCCTCATAGAAAGTGTTGCCATTTTTTTTTTTTTACTGAAAATGTTATCATTATTCCTCTTATAGGCCTATAGGCCTCAAATGTGTCCCATATAATATCTATCGATGGTCTATCACAAGGAGTTGTATTTCTAATATTTGTACTTCTAAATATCTTAGTATGATTTTTTTTTAGATATTTAAGAATGTCTAAGGGCTCAATTGCACAACTCAGAAAAATGTCAAAGTCCAGTTTATTAAACAATGGGCAAAATTGTGGTCAGGCAGAATCAAGGTCAAAAATCTAGATAGGCAAAATCAGGCAGAGGTGCAAAAGGGAAAGGCTAAGGCGGGTCCAAAAAAACACTAACAAGATCAAAAACCGAGGATCAAAACACTGACAAGACATACTGGTTGACTCAGCACACAGAAGAACACAAGGGCAGGAAGTCAAGACACCTGAAACGAGAGGAGAGTTACTACAAAATAAAACAGGAAGTGCAACAAAAACACAGAGAAAAAAGGACCTTATCTCTGACAAGTCTTGACACCTGATATGAAAATATAATCTATTCAGTTGTACAATTTTTTGGCATGTGAATAATCTGAGAATATCCACTTCTCAGGTTTTCTCAACCCAAGAAAGTGGGAGGTTGTTTTCCAGACCGAAGATTTCTTTGATGTCTTTGAGGGGTTTTCTTCAGAGACTTCAGCCGTCTCAAGGGGTTTCAGTGGTCCATTAGGGAGAGACTCCTATTTGCATGAGTCATCCTCAGCTGGGAGCACCTCCATAGAGGCTTCAACCATCTACAGGTGTTCAAAAGTAGGTCCATAAGGAAGAGACTCCTGTTGGTATGGCTCATCCTGAGGCTTCTCCTAGGGGGATGAGGATTGTCTATTCTCTCAGCCTTGAGCTCCGTTGACAGCTGATGGTTGGGTCAGATCTGAATGTTAAACTGAGTTATCAGCTCCTCCCTCCCTTTCTCAAAAGATTCCTGATTTGTCAAGGTGTGTTGCTTCAGGATGTTATTCTCTTCTGCCATGTTTTCACAGAGGGCATCCTGCTCAGCCCTCAAATTTTCTGTAAGACGCAGATCTGCTGACAACCTTTCTGCGTGAGATTTGATTTTATCGTTAACCTCAAACCGAAGATTGAGCTGAATTTTCAGCTCCTCGTTCAGCTCACGCTTAATGTTGAGCCAGGTCTTCAGCTTTTCCTGCTCTCTCCGTAGAGATGTTTCATTGGCCAAAGCATTTTGCTGAAGGATTTTAATTTCCGCCGCCATTTTTTCCTGAAGGGCATCCTGCTCAACCTTTAGATTTTGGAACAGGTGCTGGTCTGTTGAAACCCTTTCTGTGTGAGACTTGATTTCATCGTCAAGCTCACGCTTAAGACATTCATTCTGCTGTCTGAGAGTGAGGAGTTTGGTTTCATATTTTACAGTGAGGTGATGTTGTGAAACCTTGGTCCTTTCGAGTTCTTTTCGAGAAGCTTGTTCCTCTGCCTCTACCTGGAGTTCAGCTGTAAACTTGTCCTGGCTGATCTAATGTGCCACTTGCAGCATCTCATAATCTTTGTGAAGGTCTTTCTTCTTTTTCTGTCTGATGGTGTCCCTCACCTGAACAGCCATGTTGTAAGTGCTGAGTTTCTGGATCTGCACATTTCCTCACCCTCTCTAGCTCTCTTCTGGTTTCTTTTTTCCTGTTAATTTACATTTCTTTCAGGGTTTTCTGCTTAGCCATGTGTTTTTTGGTCTTCTCCAGCTTTTGGCTAAGTTGGTTTTGCACACAGACGAAGACTTTTCTCTGTTTATCCAACAGGTCATTAAGTTTTTGACCTGTTCACAAAGTTCATCGCACTCCATCACATCGACTTGAAGAGGTTGACCTCTGGCCAGCTGTCTGAAGGTCCTCCTGTCCAGTTGGCTGCTCACTCTTCCACAGAAAAAAGAGACGATGTGTGGTAAGGAGATGGCCGTACATGAGGTTCCTGTGCGCCAGCACGGGAATGTCGCCGGTCGACATGCAAACTAAAAATGATATATAGAAAAATACTGCAAGATGTTAGAGGAGCCAATAGGCTTAATCAGCATTGTGTCATCTCCTCTAGTAGTGGCTTGGGTGAAACGGACATTTACGGACCTGTAGAAGTTACGCACTATAGCTTTAATGAAACTGACTTCATTTTTTTTCCTTCAGTTTGAGTTCAGGATTTCAAGTCCCTCCTGTGGTCAAAGTCAGACAGTTGAGACTGTGTGTTAGAGAACCTGTAGGCTGAACAAATACGATAAAGGACATTTTCAAGTTGAGTATCATTTAATTAACAAATAAATTCTTCAAAAGCAATGAATTTGGGCATATTCTTAATTTTGATATGAGAAACAGTGGACTCGTGTACGAGGTTGGGCTACACCTGCTAATGCAGTTGACGGAATATGTTGTACCACTACTTGTAGTTAACGGTAGCCATATTTGTGTAATTTGGCCATCTTACCCTTCAGTGTAGTTGGCAAAAAATGAAAAAAGCTAAAACTGAAGAAAATATAATTGGAGCAACTCAGTTTTTTTTAACAGCTGATGACTTAAACACTTGTGCTCATAATTATGAAAACACAACATCTAAAAATTCCTTTTAAATGAGGTGAAAAAGCTAGATGTAACAATTTTTAAGAGCAATCAACTGGTAAAAAGAGATTTCCGCACATCTATGCAGTGTTTCACTTTATTTGTTAAGCTTTCAGTCTACTTGACCTTCATCAGAGCATACATAATCAACTTAAAAATATATTCTTATGCTACCAATTGTTGAGTAAGTGTTGAATAACGAGACCTTTGATTGTGGAAGAAAATCTAACTTAATCTAACTTACTTACGTGGTTGAACATTATTTCATTAGAAGTAACTCATAACTCAAAAAGATTGATGCAAACAGTTGCATAAAATTTTTATTAGAGCTCTGATGGGACTCATCCCGAGGACGGCCACTTAACTGTATAAGATCTGACAGGATAAACTTGGATTCTGCGTGGAACAACTTCACCTATATGTCTGATGTGCAGAAAAGCACTTAAGGTCAAAAAGCATTAGATTATGACTGATCCCATGTCTATGTGGGGAGATTATAAAATAATTAATGAAATTACTGTTAATGTACACAAAGCTCCCCTCTTAAGTTCACGCGTATGTGGATCCTTTATGATGGAAACAGGAATAAAGTCAAAGGAAAGATTGTCTCATACAAATAGTTGTGGGGAAACAAACTGGCTGTAAGGATTAGTTTTTGTTCTTGTTTTGCAAAAACCTTAGATATGAAACCAGAGCACATGACCCAATCTTCCCCATTACAGTCTCTGTGTTAACGGCTTTTTCATGGACATTATATTATGTAATAACCATAGACTTGTAAGTGAAAGGCTAACCTCAGCATACATGAAATGTGTTTGGGGATTTTGGAGAGGCCTCTGCCAGCTAAGGTGTCTCTGTCCAAAAGCCTGGTAACCCTGCCAGAGCTATGGTCCTCCTGCATGACCTGGGAAGGTTGGACTAATGTACCTGTCTGATATTGTTTTATGCATTTATTTTATAGGTACAGGCCTCAACTTGCCTCCTGAGACCTTCTTGATTTTCTCTGTGCATTTTACATGTTTTTTCTGTATTGGCGTTCCTTTTGTTAACTTGTGCAACAGACACTCTGCATCTTTAAAGAAGAGCACTAAATTCTGCCACTGATGGTGCTGATGTGTTTGCACTGACATTTGTGCTGAGTGCATGTGTGGTTCTGCTGAGTTCTGCTGGATGGATGCTTGCCCCGACCTGCAGACGGGGTGTTTTGTGTCTCTCCTCCTCCTCCTGTCCCTCCCTCCCCATCTCTCTCACTGCATGTGCGTGTATGTGCTCCATGTCTATAAAAGCCACACAGTCACGAGGGTGCTGTCCTGCAGAGGAGCTCAAGTGTAAGTCAGAGAAAGAGACAAACGAAACAGAAGACTGCATTTGCTTTCCCCTGGCTGTGAGTAACATTTGATTTCTTATATAGACAGTTACAGAAGAGCATAGCATTAGCACATGTACTGTATCTTTTATGCCTGTGACTTTAAGTCTGCAGGAGCAGATGACTCAGCTGTTTGTGTTTGGTGCCTCGGTGAGCCGTGAAATGCAGGACAAATGTGCAACTAAGTAGTGTTTAATGCATGCAAATCTGGTAGACCAAAGCCTTGTCTATTCTCTGCACCTCAGATGAAGACCTCCATGGACATTTATTAAACAAAGAACCAAAACTACTTCTTTGTAAAATAGTTATAGTTTGTGTAATGACTTATTTCAATGTCACAAACTCTAAAGCCCACAAGCATCAGGCACAAGAACACAAAATTGATGAAAACCCCGAAAAATGAATAGTTAGGTGTTTCTGACTGAGTATGTACCACTAAACATGAGGTAATAGTGGTTAGAAAAAGAAATATATATATATATAGAGAGAATATATTTGTCAAGTGCTAAAGTCATTTCTATACTTCTTAGGTAGAATAACTTCAGGTAAATTACATTAAGTCTCAGGACACCCATGAAACTGGCCCAAAACAGACCCTTTAGCCACTGGTTTCCACACCAACATGCTCTCCCAGGTCGTTTTCCTGCTGACTGATGTCTGTTTGATGACTGGTTGATCCTCTATGATACCTCCTATTCAGCATGTAAAGAGGGTGGCTTTTGCTTCATCTGTTGTGCTGTGAGTCAGCAGACAGGGTATTAGTGTTTGGGTTTGGAATCTGTGGAGATGACCCGGCCCTGTTTGGGACTCCAGGTCCACTTTCATATGGGCTGCTTTTAATTTTAACCCTTTCAATCGGGCTAACCCTGTCCATGAGCTTGTGTCCACCGCTGTTTATTTTAAATTCAACTTCAGATCTTTTCAGTCAGTCTAAGCAGTCAGTGGCCTTTATTGTAAGACGATCCTTGTATGTGTGTGTGTGTTTGAGATATAAATATGAGGATATAGCAGCATGAAGAGGATGCAGTTTGGAACAAACCAATAGCTGATTCGAGCGGGTAGATGGGATCCGGCAGCGTGATAGAAACTGCAGCAGAGGCAATTATTGATCTATGTTGCTGTTTCCTGTTTCTCCTGCGCAGGCCCTGCCTTCTCTGTATAAGCTGTAATCATGGCCAAAAACCTGCTGAAGAATCCCAATGGGGAAGGTAAGAGGTCATTTTCTTCATAGAGGATCTGCAACCATGTAACTAGATCTACTCTGGGGCTTACCACCCCAGGTGAGATTGTCTCATCAGCTGCATGGAAGACTAGGCCTGGGTATCATTTAAAAAATTATAATACCAGTACCCTTAAAGTGATACCGATACCAATAGAGTACTTCATTTGATACCCATGATGTAAATAAAGTTGCGTGTAGTTAAGCCATACTTCTGAATGTTTTGGTGGCATCTTGGTACGCTGAACTGCCAACTCTGTCAAATACATCGCACTCAACTTCACCACACCACAGATGGGATGTATGGCTTGTACTGCTGCTGTGGAAGTGTGAGCTTCACTCCAGGGACAGTTGTGACAGCCTGGCTGCACACACAGTGACAGGGCTAACTGTTAGCACCACACTGCTAACATTACCTTACAGTTATCAATGGGTGTCAAGCCATTTTGTGTCAGTGGGAATGTCTTGGGACTGTTTAAGGGCTCAGTGATTGATGCTAGCCATTGCTGCTGTGTTAGCTTGTGCTAACTGGAAAACGTTATGCTGACCGTTACCTGGAAGGAGAATGGCAACAGACATTTTGCTTGTTTGGCAAGGATTCGGGTCTGCGATCAGACCCCGGATGCAAAAAGGATGATTTCATTTCATGTATTTTATTTATATGGACAATTCACATTAATCAACATGTCTGTAAATGTGGCAGTGTTAGCCAGCTGGCTAATTTTCAACTGCAGTCCCTTGGCAAGGTGTTTTGAAACCAATAAAAGGATAAAATTCCCAGGACAATTCACAGATGGAATGCAGGTATCATCTGACTGGAGACATTTCGATACTACTTGGTACTGGTATTATTAAAGTCAATACCTTAAAATTACCCAATACCTAGACCTATGGGAGACAGTCCCTGATGTTTTCCATATCCATGTAAATTTTCTAGTGAGGTGTCTGCCTTCTTTACCTCATCATGGTGCCCAGTGAGGCCGGTAACTGTCCATTGGTCCGACATCCCATTGTTCCGACCATATTAAACCCATTGTTCCAAATCATCATGATGCCCTGTGGTTAAGGTCTGGTTAGGTTTAGGCACAAAAACCACTTGGTTAGGGTTAGGAAAAGATCATGATGTGGGATAAAATGAAAAAGAAAGTGACAAACACATAAGCTGTGAACCTGCTTCGCCTCAAGCCTTTCCCAGCTGACCCAGAGCCGGTTGCGGCGCACCATCAAGGTAGAAATACGCCCACTGGGAGCCGTTCAGCACTGCGGACCATCGGACTAATGGGATGTTGGACCAATGACATGGACCTAATGAGGCCAGAAGACACCCACTGGTAGGCTACTTGACAATTGGTCAGGTTGTGTTCAAAATCGAATTCTAATGTACTGCGTACTAAATTGATGATTAAGTATGGCATTACCAGCAGACTGTTCACACTGAAGTTGACTCAAGCAATCACCTTCTCTGCATCACCTGACTGTATTGAAGACTAGTCTGTGCTTTCACTGAATGAAAGTTGTTTATTACAAATGTAAATCAACATTAGCTTTTCCACTCAATTTCATATTTTCAGTATCATTTTGAGACAAATTAAATTTTTAAATATTTTAGTTGAATATTTTTTTTACAGTATATACTGTAGTGTATATGAGATCCCATGTTTTCCCACTTGACTGTACGGTAACATCACTAGCCATCATTCTTAATTATTTTATCAGTTCATTAGCTAAACCATCCATCATGCAGTCCACCATTGGACTGTCTGAAGTAGAGCAATGCGTTTATTAAAACTGATAAGCTCACATCTTATACTTATAAATTCTTGCTAATCTAGTATACATCTGGGCATTTTTTGTGCACTCAAAATCCACACTACATACTCATCTTTAGGTCATACTTAGTATGAATACTGTCTTAGTAGATTTTGAACACAGCCTGAATTTGATTGAAAAGATCTGAGGGTCAGTAGCTTTAAAACTGCAGCGTCTGTGCCAAAAGGGTAACTATTTTTATTTGCTTAGCAAATAAATATATTTAAAAGTGACCTAACATTCATCTGCTAATCTGAGCACATGAGTCGGCTACAAACAAACAAACTGCATCCAAGACTGTCAGACTGGAAATAGCTTAGCCACCGTCTAAATATCACTCACTGTTTACTGTTTTGATTGATTGTACTTTACTGTATTAACCACACTGCTGCATATGGAGCTAAATGTGTGCTCATTTTTAGGGGAATAGTTCAACATTTTGTGAACTGTGCTTATTTTTTTTTTCTTGCCAAGACTTAGTACAGCAGATTAATACCATGTGGTAAATATGTGTGGTAAATACGAGGCTATGGCTAGGAGGCAGTTAGCTTAGCTTAGTGCAAAAACGGGAAACAGTCCAAAGGTAACAATATCTGCCCACCAGCACCTGTTACACAAATGAATAGGGTGCCAGGTTGCCTCCTGATCATTGCGAAATTCACAATAAAAATAAATTGATTCACTCTGTTTTTTTTTGTACATCTGTTTTTGTAAATGTAATGATAATAAGTTGCCAGAGTACATTTAAAAGCATCAAAACAGTTGAGCCCTGAATGTCCTCAAGTCTAACTTTTACATTTGGAGAAAAATGGGACTGCATTAGTTCTGATCCTGAGCCTGTTTTGTTCCTGGTCAGACCAAGGGCGGAAATTCCATTTCATTGTTGGTGGGACGATAAACAGAAATATTTCTCAAGAGCAATTTTTGGGGGGGACCAACAAAGTTGCAGTCAAATTTACTGTTGTAGCACATATAAATGGAACATGTATGGTAAAATGCATTGAAAGTAATATCAATGTTAAGAATAGCATCCCTTATCAATACAGTCACCCCTATATAAAGATTTTTAATATGTTCAACCTCCATTACCAAGAATAACTAGTAAGTGGCAATGTACATCAAATATGGGTGTCGTTTTTCCTATTACAAAGACTGAAAATCATGATGAAGATAGTTTCAGTTTGAATTCATCTTGTCATCATGTATTTCTGTGGTCATTTGATAAGTGTCTCTCATTTTGTCTCTGCTACAATGCTTCACAAGAATATAAATCTCTAAATAAATGCACGTTTATAGGCAGAATAAATCCTTCAATGAACAACCCCACAAAATCAAATAAAAATACTTTACACAAAACGTGTTTATTGTGGCTTCTTGCAAAACAAGTTGAGAAATTATGCCTCTGAATGTAGGACAACTTAAATATGCACAGCACTATGTACATTGAAATGGTAAGTTGTAAGTGTATACAAAAGATTAAATAAATATAAACTATACTGTATTGTGCAATATAACTTTTGTTATAGCTATGTACTCCACTTAAACTAAAGCACAACGTCTAGCACACTACAACTTTTCTTTGTATCATAGAAGAAGACCTGCATTATTCAGCTAACAGGCCTAAACAAATGAACCAAAAATATTTCCTTGGCTTTCGCTGGATCTGACAAAATCCTGGCAGATGTTTTTCATGTCCAGCTTGTCCAGTATCTCTTTATGTACTGTACATTACAGACCGTAATATTGTTCAGTATGACTTGGACCATGCTAGCCTTTAGCCAAGTCTTTAATCTGCGCAGTGCACTAAAACTCCTCTCATCCTCACATGAAGACACTAAGTGCGTTTCCATTAACCCTAGAAATGTGCAAAACCTAAATATCGCAATAAAACATTTCGAAAAAACTCTCATATATCGAGAAAAAGTTTTTACGCTCTCATGAGGTGGTTTTTCAGACGTGTCGATATAGAAGTATATCGCAAAAGTTTAATGGAAACACTTTTTTCACAAATATACGTCACCGGACATTCAAGTCCTCTAATTCCTCGTTCACGATCCTCTCCCAGAAATCCTTTATCCGTGGTTGCTACCACACATAAGGACTTTGCCTTTGGAATACCACTCACTCTCTTCGTCTTCGGTTGTAGACTACTGCAACAGCAGCAGTGGCAACCGAGATGATTGTTCCAGCTCGCAAGAGATTTGGAATGTCCATCTTACTTCCGCAAACAAAGTGGAGTCTCGCTGGACAAGATTTTACGAGAATTACGGCTCATATGCAAAACACCTTTTAATGGAAACACCTGCAAGTAACTAAACTTTAGAAATATCGCATTTGTTTTGCGCAAAACTGTAATGGAAACACAACTATTGACACCACCAACAGAAGTCTGATGAGAACCTCAAACAGCCCATGCACCTCAACTGGCAGTCCTCTTAAAATCTCTGCTGCCTCTTCAATGCTGCTACAGGGGTATTTTTTGCTAGAGGGGTAACTGCATAGAAAGAGAATTGCTGTTCAGCTCAGGGTACTGATTTAGAGAATTGTCTAACTCCCTAGTAAGGAGTGCACCATCTTTAGGCTCTTAAAATGGTCACCAAACTGAACCTGCACAGTGTCCAGTACTTTAAAGAACTCTGCCCTGTACTGATCCACTGCTTTGCCAGCAAGGCGTCTTCCATGTGTCATTTCAATAGAGTCAATGCAATCTATAGTCAACCAATGCTGCAGCCTGCATACCAGACACAGTCTGAGTTTTCTTCTGCAGAGAAATGTTAAGGCATTCAAGCTCTCCAACAACAACTGAGCAAGGTTTTCAAGCATGCTCTGAAATTTTCTTGACTGGCTGAACTGGATGCCTAACTGTTTGACCCAAGAAAGGTAGTCCCAAATCAGTGGGGAGGCCGAGCAGCCAGCCTGTGTAATAAGATTAACACAGTGTGCACCACAGTGCACACAGAGGGCTAGTGGCTGCTGCTTCCTCAGTATTGCCTGTGCACCTGTGTATTTTCCTGCAATGTTTGATGCACCATCATAAGTCTGCCCACGAAAGCCAGACATGGGCAGATTGAGCCTCAACAAAACATCAGCTACCATCATTGCAATGGCTTGCCCTGTTGTTTCAGACACTCTGTAAAGCCCACCAAACTCCTCATGTGGGACAAGGTCATGGTCCACACAACGCAGACAGACACTTTCTTGTTGAGCACCAGAATCATCCTGAGTACCATCCACAAGGACTGAAAACTGAACAATGGGACAAGACCTAATTTCATTTGCAATGCCTCGAATTATTTTATTGGCTATGATGTTCAGAATTTCATTCTGTGCTTTGGGGCTTGTGCACATTATAGTGTGCTCTGTTAACCACTTTAGTAAAATGGGATCATCCTCTTCTGCGTGTCAGAAGTTGATACAGATTACCACTTTCATCAGTGTGGCCTCTCAAGGCTTGTCCCTGTTTTGCCACGTCATACAGAACAAACAATTTTCTGTAAGCAGTGTCTTGCTACCTCCTGCTGTTTACCCCATGTGCTGGAGCACTGGACACTGACTGGATTCAGGTGATGTGCACTCACAGTCACATAGTGACAGCGGACTTGTGAGTTTTGGTGCGCTGTGAATTTCTAAATGGCTTTTTTCCAGTTTCTGAAGCTAGAACTAATGAGAGCAGCATCTGCCTTCTGTCCAAAAGAGGACTGGCTTGAAACGAGACTCCTTTTAATGATGGACTGTATAGCCATGGGAAATTGTGAAACCATTTCTCTTGGAATGACAATGACTTGCCACTAGCAAGAGTTTGTGTTTCTATACAATGGGGATGTGGTTGGTATGGCTTTGAACAGTCACTGAGATCTGACGCTCACAGAGACTTGATTTTTTTTTAAGTGTTTGCTGTAATGTCATTTTGTTTAATCAAGTCATTTATTTAAACCTGCTTTTGGATTTGAACTTGATCGTGGACATGCTAGAAAATACACAATACTGCTATAGTAGCCTAAAACTGCTAATTTCCCTCCCAGAGCAGCTGGAATTCTGGGAGCTGACGGAGAATGGAGGGAGTCAGTGGAAGGTGGAGGACATGCCAGGAGACTGTGGCTACGAGTTCTGCAACGATGGAGTGACAAAATACTTTGCAACCTCCTTTGAGTGAGTGTTTGTTGCAGTCCTCATGTTGAGGTACTAAGAAATCAACACGCCGCTCAACACAGCTCCAATTTCCAGAGAGAGTACCCATCAAATACATGGAAATACATGATTTCTGTAACCATATATATATATGATTTGCTATATGAATATGAATTCAATTATTTGTCATCCATCCCATGAAAAATCCTCCTGCTCTCTAAAAAAAACGTGCGTCCTAGGCTGTGTCTGAAGAGGCAGGTGATCGACTTGATAGCGGAGGATTTCTCCAGTGAACAGTTGGACGCTCAGCCACCAGTCACAGTGGAGGACTGGTAAGTCAGTGGTGGGCAAACATGCATGCATTCACCTTGTGTCAGTAGCTGTTGTCTCTGATTAACGGATGGCTCATCCTGCAGGTACTGCGGGAGGTCGGATTGTGGCTGCACCTACCAAATGAACGTGTGTCTGCTGGATGAGAATCAAGAGGTCATACAGGAGTTCAAACCTGAGCCAGTGACTCTCGTCCCAGAGTGTGACGACTGTTCGTGGAAGCAGGTGCGCAGAGAGGGGAAAGCTCTGTACATTCAGTGGCTGGAATACAGGGACATGCATGAAGAGCACAGTGATTCTATATCAAACAGACTAAAGTCATGATAGGAAAACACTATCAGTGGTAATGTCCGTCTTAATTCTGTGACTCCACTTGTGGTCACACCTATGCTCTCAGGTATAAAGACTGAAGGGGGCTGCGTTGGTGTTGATGTGTTTTTTAAGGTACTGATGAGACAACAAAATGCAATCTAGGAAGTCTACAGATTCATGTGTTAAGAGGCTTACTAGATCTTAAAATACTGCACAACTGTAGATACTGTATGGTCACATCCTAACTAAAATAATGTTAGCAGAACGCTAGCTAACTGGCTGGCTAGCACATAGCTACATCAAAGCCCAATGTCAGACCACCAACATTGGCCAGGTTTGCTTCCTCCTTATTTCTGTGGTAATGTCAGAGATGTGGGAAAGGACAGATAAATTGGTTGCTGACACAAATTATCATCAGCCAGAAAAGTTCAAAGCTAATGCTCCTTTGTTTATATTATCTCTCTCTATCCCCCAAAAGTAACTAAGGTAATTTTCTTTAAGAGAGATGTGCAGCACCATGGTCTGTAGTCAGTAATACAGTTAATACATAGAGTACTTTACAGGGGATACATACCCAGCAGTGCAGGAGTGATGTTGACTGATAGTCTTCTCATCTTTGGTCTTTACTTCACCCTTTATCGTTGAGACCAGAAGCCTCAATTCACGCTGTTTGCCTTGTTTATAAAAGATTACATTGTAAATATATCCTTCCTTTGAAGTGCATCATTTGTCACTGTCTGCCTCTTTAAACTATATTGCCTGATGCCCAGAAACTATCTAAGAAAAACTGCAGCATTCGGCTAAACGAAACTGGCATAGCCACGTGTCTCTTAGCTTTTCTGACCTAGCAACAGTAACTAAGGGGCGGGACTTAGAATCAGTCAATTTCAGGTGATGTCGCTTTGCATGGCGGCAATAATTGAACCAGGTTCAATTATTTTGGCAGACGACCCTGCATTGGCATGTTGCCGGACTGGCTCTATTGAATTTAGAGAGAAGACTAAAATTGGTCATAATGCAGCTTAATGTTAGAGAAACACTGTGGTTTGGAATTAAAATGATGACTGTATTGAGGTTAGGGAACATTTGTTGCCTTCATTGTTTTTGCAGTGTTGACTACTGGTTGGAAAGAAGAACCAAACAGCACTTTATGTGTTAACTGTAATGTTGCGTCAACCTTATACCTATTTTAGACTTTGTCATGCTATAAAAACGTCACCTTACCTGCTCCTTTGCTCTTGTCCTAATTACCATGGCCATGACAGGGCACCTTCACTTTAACATAAACTTGTTGTTTTGGGACACTTACTGAATCGACAGTCACAGTGTTTTTTTTCTCTCTGCTTAAACTCCAGATCACCCATACATTTTCTGACTACGGACCTGGAATGCGTTTCATCTCCTTTGAACATGGAGGACAAGACACCAAGTTCTGGGACGGTTGGTTTGGAGTCCGGGTCACTGGGAGCTCTGTTACTGTTGAGGTCTGAACAAGAGGAAAAAGAAAGAAAGGAGAAGGGAGCCAAGTAGTTAGGGACACACTGAGAGATAAAGGAGGAAGATGAGGACAGAGAACTAGAGTAATGTAAGGACTCCAGCTTGGAGTGTAGGTTTCCAGGTTTTAAGAGGACCATCTTTGCCTTATGCACCTAGCTTACCCCTCTGTATATTACGCATAGTGCTGTTCATGCTGTGAAAAGACACTGCTGTTACGAAGGCTGAACTTACAAATCTGCAAAAAAAACCACCGTCATGGTACCACAGCAGCTTTACTAACTTTAAATACTAAAATTACTGCTTACAATACAGTCAGTGATATGATGTGTTACTGTCTCTGGACTGTGTTTGGTGGATGGAGTTGTTGTAAGCAGTCAAGTGGTTTAACATTGAAATTGGAATTAAAATGATGAACTACATGGTGAACTACATAATTGCCTGTTTTGTGGAGTTGAACTTTCCTTTCAAGATCTAATCAGCTGAATGTGGTCATCCTTTATCCTTCAATTGTTACCGTCAATGTAGAATTCAAAGGTGTGTGCCTGTGGTTTGTCCTTATTTACAAGAAACAGACTGTAGGTTGTTGGAAATGTTTTTTTCTTGTGAGCAGTGCTGGAACGTTACGAAGTGCATTTAGTCAAGTACTGCACTTAGGTAGAATTTCAAGGTACTTGTAGTTTACTTAAAGGCGCTGTATGTAAGAATGTGGCCAAAACGGTTACTGCACTCAAATTCAAAAATACTGCCGCCCCCCCCTCCCCTACAGATTCGAGGTTGCTGGACAGCGGCGCGCTGGAGACTGATTTGTTTACACACGGGCGGCTGCCGTGGCAGGGCCGCGTCGCCGCGTCCTTGATCTTCGGTTTTCCAGCGAACCATTCGAGCAAGTCCGGCTTCTCTGCTGCTAACGCTGCTGCTGGGATACAGCTGAGGAGGAGCCGGCTGCTAATACTATGTACCGGGACACTGCTAATGCTGCTTGCCGTGCTGCTGTAGCTCAGTCGTAACTGTAACTCATGTTGAGACTCTACTGACTGCGTGACTGGTAGACAGCAGTGGGTGGCGCAGCAGGCCAAAACACAAATTCAAAACATAAACATGATTTGCAGACTGTAAAAATGTTATAATATTCTGGCTGTACTATTGTTGTCGGTGAGATCAGTATGTTATATGAACATTATTCCTTAGTCTCTGTGACATATTAGGAGGATTTTACGACTATTTGCTTTAGATTTCTTACATATAGCTCCTTTAAGTATTCTCATTTTATGCTACTTAATATTTCACTTTACTACATTTCAGAGGAAAGACTGTTCAAGTACCTCAAAACTGTACTGAAGTACAGTGCATGAGTAAATTGTGATGACCCCTATGTTATTATCTTGTGGCTGTGTAATTCACCTGTCTGTGCTACATTAAAACCACTGGTGGGTGAAGTGAATAACATTGATCATCTTGTTATAGTGCAAAAATCCATTGGGAAGCCTTGGGTCCTGGCATTCATGTAAATGCTACCTGATGTGCTCCACCCACCCAAACACTGTTGCAGACCAAGTAAACCCCCTTATGGCAATGGCACTTGTCGATGGCAGTAGTCTGCAGTCTTTCTCTTTGGCTGGTTCTCCACTTTCCTGCTGCATCTCTGCTCCTCTCCCGTCTGGTTTGGTTATGTTCCTTTTTGTCAACAGTCCTTTTTGTTGCTTTTTTGCACCTTCTTCCACTAATGCACATTATGCACTACTGACCTTACTGATGTTCACACTCCATACTTTAATTATTTAAGTTAACCTTTTAATTTGGTTTAATCTGTGTAAATAAAAATCACTTGTTAAAACTTGTTAATGGTGTGTCTCCCTTTTGTTGTGACCACTTGAGCCAGGTCATAACAAATGGGGACTCATCCAGGGTCAAGTAATCAACACTTAATAACTCAGATAGATGATTAAAAAAAATGTGGCCATTGCTGAATTCAACAGTATCAACTGTCTAGTGTCAACTGTATGGGCATACTACTGGGTCTAGACCACAAACATCACGTCAGCAGTATGTGATGACAACATTCATGCAACACTGCAGCGACTGTCACCTGTGGCAGTAAATGTAGAGTGCAGGTTACAATGTGCCCATGAATAAACAATGCAGCCCCTCAAAGACCCAATAAGTTCCTGTGTCTTGTTTCTTGGCTGCTGGGCAAAGGAGAAGGCAGAATCTGTGAGATTACAAAATTCCTATTTAAAAGGGCTATAATATCCTGTATCAACTTTTAAATGGTAATTTTCAGTAAAGGCTAAGTATGAATTTAGTAAAAAAAAAAAAATTAAACCTGCAGGTTGCTCTTTAAGCCACATTTAAAGAACAAGGGCCAGGAAATACAAGGAAGATAAGATTAGACATGTAGCCATAACCGTTGTCCTCTGTTTTACTTTAGTATACGGATAACATGCAAAGAACTATTGATAAACACACACATTTTAAAAAACAACTAATTTTTATTTTCATTAAACCAAACTTATATAACTCAAGTGAAAGTTGACATACTGTTCTTAACAATAAAAATATTTTGCAGTCAACGCCATAAATAGAAGTTGTTTAGATTGCAAAACTTGTGAATGCGACACTATTGGCACTGCATACAATGTCATTCACAAGACAGTGTTCAAGGTGAGCACCATTAACACTGGCATATTAAAGCTGGGGCAGGCAGTTTTCTGGAGAAAGCAAAACAAACACAAAGCAGAATTTGGAAATAGACCCTCCTCATGCAGCTTTCCCCTCTCTGTCCTAAACCCTTCCCATCAGACAAGCACAGACATGTGCAGCCACAACATACAGTAACCCCAAAATCAAAAAGTACATATTTTTCCTGTACTTTACTATTTATCAATCTAGATTGTTCTGTTGTGAGTTGCAGAGTGTTGGAGACATCAGCGGTAGAGCTGTCTGCCTTCCCTGCAATTAATGGAACTAGGTGGCACTCGGCGTGTGGTGCTCAAAGCGCCAAAAACTACATTTAAAAAAACTCAACAGCAATGTCTCTTTCCAGAAACCATAACCTGGTTACTCAAGATAATCCACAGACCTTGTTGTGAGCAGTTTCATGTAGGAACTATTTTCTTTCTACTGAACTACACCTGCCAACTGTATCGCTGCGCAGAAGGAAGTGTGCATCTACTGCTGTAGATGCACACTTCCTTCTGCACAGTGATATGGTTCCAGGCTAGATTTTCCAAAGCCTAAAAAACAGAGCCAGGATAAGGTGCAGAAGTCTAATTTTGATTATCCACTTGAATTAAAATATGCTGGAAAGTAATTATTGCATTTTTGCCCATTGACGCCATAATAAAACTGCCTACCCCAGCTTTAAGGGCACCGCCTGTTTTAAAGCTACATTAATATATGTTTATGAGTCACTGATGTTCTGACATTGTTTCTATGAATTGCAGTCTTTCAACAGTCGCTAAAATTACTAGTACTTTTTCGGTTCAGTCAATATTTTCCTTCATCATGGCAAATGTGAGACAGTGCAGCATTTCATTAGATCATAGAGCCAAAAACAATGTGATATCCAGCTGTAGTGCTGTTAGCAAGCAAATCGCAAATTGCAGCCTGAGTTACAAAGAAAACAGAATAAAAACTTTTCAGTCATCATTCATCAATTAAAAACTTCATTGTCTTCACATGAATGGATGTTTTGTACATGGGAGTGCAAAACACATTGGATGGTTCTCTGAGAAAAACTGTTCCTCAAAGATGCTTACATTACACTTCTGACTTGAGAAAACTACTAGTGAGAGGTGATAAGCTCCGAAGCCCGTTTTCAAAAGTGCTTTTAACTGGAAGGGATCTGACCACCTGAGAAAATTGATCACCATTGCCCTTCCAGAGTGATTAACACTGCTGCCACTTGGGTGAGTAAACTTACAGATCATCTGAGTTTGACCTGGTCAACCACAGAAACTCAACACATGTAAATTTCAGTTTGGACAGTATTGAAAAAATGAGAAGGCAAGCTCAGTTTAACCATTACAGAAATGTAACAAATATTATATATACATATATATATATATATATATATATATGATATTTAAGCAAAGACCTGATGAAATATGGAACTCTGCTTCCAGTTGTTCTTGTTTGGACTCTTTCACCTTCAATGCTTTCAGTTAACAAAACTACTCTCTGGCATATTCAGGTGAAAGTGTCACAAATTTGAATCAGTAACACATTAGAGCAAAGATCATATTATTGAACATCAGTGTAGGTTTAAGCGTGACTTTGTGTCGGTAGTAGTGTGCGTACATCGTGTTTCTGCAGGGTGACAGGTCCTGGTCCAGATGAAAGAGGCTGGGCTGAACTCATTATTCTCCTTGTGACTGCATCTGTTTGCAAAAGGCCTCAAACTGCTGCTGTTCCAACTCTGTCATCACCTTGTTCAAAGCATAAATCTGTTAATGAAGAGAAGAAAACAGACATTAAGTGAGAAGTAACGTGACATATAAAACATTTGCCACACTACCATAATAAAATCTCTTGGGGAGTAGGATTATATACAGCAGTGATACTAAACTTAGGGCCTGTGGGCTAAATACTGTAGGGTGATTCACAGTGTATCAAAATAGAGCTGGTTAACCCCCCTGGGACGCACGTCCAGGGTAGGGTTGGGTACCGTTCATAATTGAACCGATATGGTACCGGTACCGGTATCTGGAATTCGGTACCGGTACCAAATGGTACCTTATTTCGGTACTTTTTAACCCCATGGGCCCTAGGCCTTTTTGGGGTATTTTTACTGCCTTTACTTTCAAGCTCATATCACAGTCATTAGGGGCAATGTACTCAAATCCTAAGAACGCCCCTATGTACATCTGACCTGTGCGGGGCTGCTATGACTGAGTTTGAAGTTGGAAAAAGACAATTCATTTATTTTATATACTACACTATATACTCCTTTCATTTCGTAAAAGTGGCAAAGCAAGTTGAGTATCTCCGGTGTACAGTATGTGTGCCATGTTTAAAAATGGTGCCGTTAGTCACCTCAGCTCTCTGTCGTTGTTTGAGCTCTTGCTGTGCAGACTTCTGCTTGGCTCTGTCTCCTCTGGTCGGGGTAGAGTTCAGTTTTGGCTTGTCTTTACGGCAGGCAGGCTCCATGGCAACTGTCACCCTGGGAGGTTTAAGGTAAGAATATACGTGACATCTTTCACTTACTGTACAGTTAAAACGTTATCTGTGAAAATACAAACAACCCCAAATAAGACAAGAGATTGTTTCTTGTAAACCCGACATACAAGTCATCCTCCAGACCCTAACATGGGCTGACATAAATTGCTACTTGTGAATTAAACAATTAGTTAAAATGAGCAGTACTGAGTGTAGTTAATATGTTTTGAATACAGGAGCGGATCGTAACAGTTCAGTAGACGTCTTCTATCTT